TTTTTTTGTACCTTATGTTCGTGGAATCCATTTTCCCCTATTATGTTTAAAGGACAATGCCAAAAATTATTTTTTTTTTACACTGCAAGGTCAAAATTTCCAGGCCAGATTCTGATTCTACAGCCAAAATTTTATGGAAATCACTTCTTAATAGCTCTGCAGCTAAATAAAAATAAAAAGAAATACACAAATAATTAAGGAAAAATAAGTAAATGAATAATAGAAAAGAGAAATACATTTTGTGACAAAATTGTTTCTAAAGTTCCTAAAATACAGCAATTATTCTCTGATGATGGGGAACAATTGTTAGTCTAATATATGGCGAAAAGTTGAAACAACATTTTTTCGGTAAAAAATATTACAAAATATTGCTCTCAATCCACAAATGTGATCGAAATAGTTTGCAAATGATTTTTATTGTATCCTGATATATGTATGTATGTATCTTTTCTTAACAGACGGATTTTCAGAGAATAATTTAGTGGTAAAAACCCTACTTTTTTGGCAAAGTTTTGAATTGAAAATATTGTATGGGGCCATGGGCCAATTTGGCAAAACGGTTAACACCATTGAATTCAGCATACCCCAATTATCTAGAAATGACCTACACACATATCTCCCGTCCGTCGGATTTTTCAACTACAACAGTGTTGTTTGAAAGTTGCTCATACGCTGTGTTAGCCTATTTATTGGTTATGTGTATGCAAGTGGAACCTTCGCCTAATTGACCACAAAATGGATCAGTTGCTAGTTTTTGGCAATATGTACACGCTTCTATAACAATAAAAATTACAAAATAAATTTTTTACTTTTAATTGTCATGTGAAAATGAAATTTCCGTCGCGATTGATAAATGGTGAATGCTTTCGGTGCTGAATATTGCATCTCAAGAAAATATTAAAGAAAAGCTCATCTAAAACATGTAAGTTGCGCCCAGCGTACGCTCCTCAGCTAGCAATTGCATAATTACGTACCAATTGCCTACTCAGTCCAAAGTAGCAATGCTGATCTCCAAATAAACAAAGTCCTCTACACTCTAAAAATCTGTTTAAAAACGCGCCTATAAATCGAGTATATTTTTGTTTATTTTTTAAATTTTTTGGTAAATTTACACGATGAATATGTATTTTTCTCGTGTACACATTTTCGTGTGCAAAAATCCTTTTTGTTAGCGGCTTTACACAATTCTACGGGTAAAATCAAACAGCA